TATACCATCCTATACCCGCACATCTCAGGGTGGTTCACAAGTTAAAATCACAATATAAAAACAGAAAATACATAATAAAACTAAAAGCAAGAACAACCCAATAATTCCTCCTTCCTCTCCAGTGTGATGTAGTGGAGAGCCAGTATGGTGTAGTGGTTAAGAGCGGTAGTCTCGTAATCTGGGGAACCGGGTTCGCGTCTCCGCTCCTCCACATGCAGCTGCTGGGTGACCTTGGGCCAGTCACACTTCTCTGAAGACTCTCAGCCCCACTCACCTCACAGAGTGTTTGTTGTGGGGGAGGAAGGGAAAGGAGAATGTTAGCCGCTTTGAGACTCCTGAAGGGGAGTGAAAGGCGGGATATCAAATCCAAACTCTTCTTCTTCTTCTTCTTCCAACACATTTTAAAAGGACATTGGATGTCAATCAGCCAACGGTCTGGTTAAAGAGAAACATTTTTGCCTGACACCTAAAGGTGTATAATGAAGGTACCAGCTGAACCTCCCTGTGGAGAGCATTCCATAAATGGGGAGCCAGTGCAGAAAACGTTTGAACCTCTTGGCCAGTTAGGAGCTAAGACCAGGAATGGGACCTCTGGTTGGCAGGAGCTTCAAGTAATCCATCAAACTTTTGAAAATGTTGGTAGTTTCTTTTTTGATCTAGGTCAAAATAACATTAACATACCGGTAATCTGTCCTATGAACAGCTGTAGCTGGATAGGAGGGGTATCTGATTTTTTTCCGAGGGGGTCAAATTAAGCAGGGAACGACTTTCATTTGATGTATTCAATTAACTGTGCGAGTGAAAGCAACAATGGCTAACTATTTTGCATATGGATCTATTGCTTTCTTAAATTTACATTCCTTTGAAATCAGGGGATGAAGCTTATACAGTCAGCATCACAGCAGGTGAGCTCTGCAGGGACCACTGCTCAGCAGTTAAGCAGTCTTTTACATAAACAAACACCCTTCATTTTGGGTAGTCCTAATTAATGAGCACAGTCAGCGGGACCATAGTGCAAATAATCCTCCTCTCCTCCTTCCCATCAACGCAAGCCACCTTCTGATCCCAACTTTTCAGGGATTCAAACCAGCAACCAGATCTTCGTTAATCAAGAACAGCAATCGTGCTAGCAACCTAAGTCATTCTGCATATCTATATTTGCATATATGGGTTAGACTTGTGATCTGCAGCTGGAATGTTCCCATCTCATCTTATAAAATGACCTACTTAACAGGACCGATATCAAAATAAATAAATACTGAGATCATACGATAAGTTTCTCTGCTTGGCAAATAAGATTTCACATGGATTGTGCTGAGCAGAGTACAAAGGCTAGCAACATGGACTCTTATCCACTGACTTTGCCCGTATGAGCTGAGACATAGATACAAGACACAAGAAAGACACCTGAAGAACATGATGGGGAGATCCTAGGGTACCTTTTGGGGGCTGAGGGTCTCATTACCCAAGTGAAATGTTTTTTGAGCCTCATTCCAGTATCAGATGAGGCTAGATCCACAAAAAGCAACACAGTCTTAACACAGAGACACAATCACACACACAGATATTTCCCGTGGCAACAGAGACACGTATTTTTTAACTCCACTCAAGCTTTACATTCCATTTTCTCCATTGGCTAAATGAGGAACCTCCCTGGGAGTTTCCTACCCCCAGTGTATGAGCTGGGAAATTATCTCTTAGTTGTGTGAGTTAGGCAGCACTTTTGTTTGCAGAGTAGATCTGTTCTGGTAACTTCGTACTGGATACTATAGTAGTTTTTCTGCGGAGGTTACTGGTGTACTTGGTAGTACTATAAAATCCACTGGTTGGTAAGACATGGTAAGACATGGGTCTATAGCGTTCAGAAAAATCAACCACATTGCAGCTTCACTAAGCAGATGAGGGTGTGATGGATGACGTGCTTTCTAGCTGACAAAGTATCTCTTAGGAAAGCAGGGAAGTTGCAAGAAATTGAGATGAACAGCATTCCAACAGTCTCTAAAGGTCGCACCAGGTCCACAGTGTGGAGCCTTCACATTGTTATAAGAAAAAACTGCTCCTTTTCCCTTACGGGGTATCCAAGAACCCGTATAGGGTCCTTAAGTAAGTTCCCTATCGGTAGGAGAAATAACAGGGGCCAGATAGTGTATATTGAGAAGCAGAGCAGCTAGTAAGCCTGATCTTTATTAAACTGTTGCAACAGGGTCCCCACTCACCACACGCAGGACAGAGGAGAGAACCCTGAACAATGGTTCGCAAGCCCTTATATAGACTTTTGAAATTGCCCACCCTGTAGCCCAAGACCACCCCTCTAAAACATCATATATACGTCACAGAAGGAGGCGGTCTACAGCAGAAATCCTATCTGCCAGGATACCTGATAATGGTCATTGATTGCATTACCTGAGCAGCCTGGCCATTCTTTTGTGATGGGTAATACTTTAGTTCCTGAATCCAGGTCACAGGCTCATGCTATTCATGCACAAATATGCCCTTAAGACAGGATTTGTAAGCAAAAGACAATGGAGAGGCTTTCCCATTTCCTTCCTCCTTGCAGAGAAATATTTGAGGTCAATTTGGGAGAGTCAAAATGGCTTCAGGATTGCTCTTCTGTACTATTTCAGACACGTGGTTTATATACCACTTATGTATATGTTTGCCTTGTGCATTTATGAACATTTAATTTATATTTGAGACCTTAGAATTCTTATAACATTAACTTGAATGAAAAGGGAAGCCAGGGTGCAAAGCCCGTTAGATCAAAGTAAGGGCTTAGAAACCACTACGCCATGTACTCCTAAAGAGCCTAATATGAACTCCAGGCAAAGTGGGGAAGGCGAAAAGTCCCACCTTCGAACTTAAAGGACCATAAAGCTGCTACATTGCCTGACGCATGTTTAAAAACTAGAATTCTAGGTGTAACATGTCTCTGAAGACAAGAGGAGCAAGGTGGGAAAAGGCAAGCACCAAACACTGCCATGGCCCCATGCCTTGTTATTGTTGTTTAGTCGTTTAGTCATGTCCGACTCTTCGTGACCCCATGGACCAGAGCACACCAGGCACTTCTGTCTTCCACTGCCTCCCGCAGTTTGGTCAAACTCATGCTGGTAGCTTCGAGAACACTGCCCAACCATCTCGTCCTCTGTCGTCCCCTTCTCCTTGTGCCCTCCATCTTTCCCAGCATCAGGGTCTTTTCCAGGGAGTCTTCTCTTCTCATGAGGTGGCCAGAGTACTGGAGCCTCAGCTTCAGGATCTGTCCTTCCAGTGAGCACTCAGGGCTGATTTCCTTAAGAATGGATAGGTTTGATCTTCCTTGCCTTGATATGGGGATCCTCAAAGATCCTCACCAGCCCTAAAACATTGGGAAGGCACAGGCAAAAGCCAAACTCTGTCCCCACGTTTCCAAGTGGCCCAGCACCTCAGTGATACCATATAGTAATCCTACTGATGCTGCTGGTTCAAAACGGGCCACATGGAGAGGAGCAGATACCATGAAGTGTCAGGGTGGGGCAAAGTCACCTCCAACTAATGGTAGGAAACAACCTTATAGGAGAATTCCAACTTCTTTACATCAGGATGCACTAAGTGTGATAATATTAGGCTATATTTCCATACTTTCTGGCAAACATTTTGGTAGCTGTGAAACTTTATCATGTAATTGAACACATTTATCTTCTGAAAGAGTGATTAGTCTTGCTGCATTTATCATGTGCATAATTATGGATCAGATTGCACACGCCCAGCAGCAAAGTAGGAAGATATTTTCAACAACTTCTTGGAGAAAATTTCTTCGGGGCAGAAATAGGAAAAAAAAAATGAATTTGCTTGCATGGAATGACTTTTCATTTTAATATGAAAATACTAGCACCTTATTTTCAGCACAGTATATAATGTGTATGGGATATTTGAAGGCAAGAATTATACTCTGGATTTGGGAAGTTTTTGACTCAATATGCTTGTATTCTGTACAAAGGAATTAAATTAAGAGTTAGAACTTTTTCCCCTTTTCTTTTTTACTTTCCAATAACCTAAACACTGTTAGTTCTGAGAAACATCGTTTTCCAGGAATACTGAGGGTTCGTGGATGGTGGCAGGGGATTTGGGCAGTTATGCAGGGACTTTCAGTTGACCGAGCTATATCTTTTTCAGGAGCAGTGGGGAGAAGGGAAGAATTCAGTTTGCCACACCCAGTTATGAACTGAATTAGGGTGGCAGGCTTGCTCATCACTAAGAGCTTTTAATAGCTAAGAGCTTTTAATAGATAATAGCTTCAATATCCAGTTCCCCTTGCTGCACACAGTTTAATTTTGTTAACATTAAGACTGGATTACAGTGGTACCTCGCAAGACGAATGCCTCGCAAGACGGGAAACTCGCAAAACGAAAGGGTTTTTGGTTTTTTGAGTTGCTTCGCAAGACGATTTCCCCTATGGACTTGCTTCACAAGACGGAAACATCTTGCAAGTTTGTTTCCTTTTTCTTAAAACCGTTAATACAGTTGGCGACTTGACTTCGAGGAGCAACTCATCGCACGCGGTGTGGTAGCCTTTTTTGAGGTTTTTGAAGACTTTGGTGATTTTTGAAGCTTTTCCAAAACTTTTCTGACACCGTGCTTCGCAAGACAAAAAAAACCGCAAGACGAAAAAACTCGCGGAACGAATTAATTTCGTCTTGCGAGGCACCACTGTATTACTGAAACATGAAGTTACCCCAAATCCGTTCTTTTATTTTGTAAAGGGGGAAAAATAACGCAAAAACAATGATTGAGAACAATCCTTAAATATTCCCTGGATTTATATATGCTTCTTAACCTCAACCTCAGGTAACTGCTAGTCGCCCCCCATGGCCCAGATACTCAGCTTATATCCACCAGGAGCTGTGTGTTGCCCTGTGGGATCAATTTTATAGAACCCCATTCCAGCTGAGGTCATAGAATTGTAAAGTTGGAAGGGTTAGGGTTAGGGTCATCTAGTCCAACCCCCCGCAATGCAGTAATCTTTTTGCCCACCATGGGGTTCGAACCCACGACTCTGAGGTTAAGGGTCTCATGCTCTACCAACTGAGCTACCACAGGTCAAACTGTTCCCCTCCCTGTTGAACTTTTAGCACCTTCTGAATACATTATTATTATTATTATTATTATTATTATTATTATTATTCCAGCAGACATTTTAATAGGATTATGATTTTATAGCTTTAACCGATATTTATTTGCATTGTGCTGAGTTTCTTGTACGCTGCTTAGAAACGATTGTTAATTGAGCAGTATATGAATTGCCCAAGTAAATATTTTTGTGGGTGGGTGGTATCCAGAGAACTGTGATCAGAAGGAAGATGGCTGCTAGCACTGTTCTGCAGGTTGTAGCACAAAAGGCTTCTGGGCTTTGGTATCATGACAGTACTTAAGAGGATGTTGTTAGTGGCACTAAAAGAATGGTGGCCGTATATCGTGATTTAAGGGATTGTTATTTCTGATGTACCACCTGATCAGTGGCTTGGATTTACACTAGTTAACCAGCAACCGTTGTTCTTGCCCAGAGCCGTCTTTCCCATTGGTCTTAGTGGTTCGTTGCGCCAGGGTGCCGGCCTCTCAGGGGCGCCCTAGCGAGTGGGGGAGCTGCGCGGCTTTGCTGACAGCCTCCCCTTTCCCTGCATGCCTGCCAGCTGCACCCCGCCAACTATATGGCTGGCGGGCACGCAGCTTCCCTCCCAAGCTTCTGCATCTGCTAAAGACGGCCCTGCTCCTGGTCGTTGTCCTCCTCCTTCCTGGCGAAAGGCAGTGCTCAGCCTTCTCGGGCGCCCCAACACCGGAGAGCATGTCCGCCAGCACGTTTTCCTGCTTGATCACCACCACCACGCCGGGGATCGTGGCGGTGGGGGAGGCAGAGGACATTTCCCACCGCCCCTCCCTTGTTTTGGAGTTGCCGGGGGGGGGCGTCGGAAGGATCTTTGCACCATGGCGCCGGATATGCTTAAGACGGCCCTGCTCTTGCCTGCCTTTGATGATCTGTGTTCTTAATTTACACAATCGAATCAGGTTTCCACTCTCTTCTCCTGCGCATGTACACACACACACACACACACACACACACACACACACTTTCCCCCTCTTGCTTTCCATGGGGACTTCTGAAATTAATTGCTGCAGCCACCTCTGACAGTCAAATATTTCTTATGGCTACAGGCCTTAAATTGATCATCTGCATACGATATGATATGGAACTGGTGTTTGTGTGTATTTGCATGTGTATATCTTCGTTTCCTTCTTTTTCTGCAAAAAGAGGGGTCCTTTGTGTCTGTGCAAGGGAAGAGGGTAATAGGAAGAGCACCAGAATTAGCTGGATCTGTCTACCATTAGCTCCACCTGTTGTGACCCCTCGCTCTTCCTGCTGTTAGCCAGCCTGCTCTCTGACCCCACCAGTGCCAAAGGGCAGCAGCTGCCACTGGCAGTAAGGTTATCTGTCAGTGACGCTTTTTGATAGGTGATTATGAGAGGCAGGAGAAGAAACTGGTGTGTGGGTGTGTGTGTAAGTAAAAAAATTCAACAAACAAATTTATCTTGGCCTCAGGGCACAATGTATGAAGAGTGCCTCCAGATTACTCTCATTTCCCATCTTTCTGAATCATTTTGATAACTAATGCAGGAGAGCTGAGTCTGAGCAACACATATTCCAAGACAATTGCAAGCTCTCAATTCTGAAGATGGTTTGTATTCTCAGGCTACATTGAACGTCCAAGAAAATTACAGTCTCCTTTAGATAAAGGATATTGCATGGTATTGCCTCAAACCCTGGAAATCATTTGTTTGAAAGAAGAATAAGCAACAGGGTGAAAGGATCTTCATTCAGAAGATCACCAAAAAGTTCATAATAATCAAATCAGGACACAGTGTTTTAAAAAAATACTGTTTGTAGAGATGACATTCCAAGGAAGAGAGCATTCATTCTGTATTTCTAGGTTGCTTTTCAAAAACTGCTGCCAAGGAGATCAATACTATCTAACAACCACACATAGGAATTAATATAATTGTAAATAAGATAAACCATTAATTAAAGTAACAAGAGCTGCAGAAAATAATCTATCAGGGACTAACTTCCAAAAGCAGAATAGAATAATGATGTGATCACCTGTTTGGAAATGCAATGAGGGTTTGTGAAAACGGACAGCTACTCTGAACCCTCATTCTTGTGGGGATCAATCTGTCATCCACATGGGACATTTTTCAGCCAGAACCCACCACAACTCAGTTCTGGCACCTCTCAGGTGGGTGCCCTTGCCATTATGAGAGAACAAGGGGGGCATTCACGGTCAGTTCTGGAACCTCTTTTTCTAGAAAAATATCACTGCGTCCACATAATATGGTCCCTGAAGCAGCAGTTATTTAGCAGACCTCAGACTTGGAGGGAACGGGGTTCATACGGAGAGCTTTGCATCAAACAGTTAATGTGCTCTTATCTTGGCAGGAAATGGGTAACATTCACCTTAATAAGCCTGGTGACACTTGCAAAATGGTGTGTCGTGAGCCATTCAGACTTCAGAGGCTTAACATATTGCAGACATTGCCCCCCTGCCAGCCAGCCAGCTTTCCCCCCCCCCCAAGCGATCTACCTCAGTGTCTTGTGTCGAGAATAGCATGTCTGCCTGTAAATCACAGGTGCTGCAATACGTTGTAGTAGTGATGCTGTTCTGAACATCAGTCAGTCCCTTGGTGTTTGACGTTATTGTAATGGAGTTGGCAGAAAGGTGAATGCCTACCACATGTGTGACTTTCATGTCTTCAAAGAGCCTTTAGCCAGCCAGGAATATTATGTTCTCAGTCTCTTGAGGAAAATAAACAAGCCCATGTCACTCACCTCTGGATCTCATCTGTGGGTTTCTTCTTCTTCTGTTGACAAAGCAGATTTGTGTATTAATTGAGGCTCTTAACTCTAACAAGATGCTGAGCTCTGCGGTATCTTTGAAGAACCGTAGGATGGTCTGCGTGGCCATTCTCCCTCTCTTTTTTGTATAGAACTGATGTGTAACGGATGAGTGCAGGTGGAGGAATTCATGCTAGCGTAGCAAGATTTGTAGACGGGTAAGAAATTTTCCCTCTTTCCTGCCATAGGCTTATTATGTGTGCTCTGCCTAACACAATCAGTTATTCCTCTTATTCATCATCACATAGCCTCTCTCTCCCTATCTTTACGCAGTGTAACACCTTGTGCACATTATTTTATAATAATAATAATAATTTATTATTTATACCCCGCCCATCTGGCTGAGTTTCCCCAGTCACTCGGGGCAGCTTCCAACAAACACCATAAAACATCAAACATTAAAAACTTCCCTAAACAAGGCTGCCTTCAGATGTTTTCTAAGAGTAAAGGTAAAGGGACCCCTGACCTTTAGGTCCAGTTGCGGACGACTCTGGGGTTGCGGCACTCATCTCGCTTTATTGGCCGAGGGAATGGCGTACAGCTTCTGGGTCATGTGGCCAGCATGACTAAGCCACTTCTGGTGAAACCAGAGTAGCGCACGGAAACACTGTTTACCTTCCCTCTGGAGTGGTACCTATTTATCTACTTGCACTTTTGACGTTCTTTCGAACTGCTAGGTTGGCAGGAGCAGGGACCAAATAATGGGAGTTCACCCCGTCGTGGGGATTTGAACCGCCGACCTTCTGATCAGCAAGCCCTAGGCTCGGTGGATTAAGGTAGTTGTTTATTTCCCTGACATCTGATGGGAGGGTGTTCCACAGGGCGGGCGCCACTACCAAGAAGGCCCTTTGCCTGGTTCCCTGTAGCTTCATGTCTCACAGTGAGGGAACTGCCAGAACGCCCTCAGAGCTGGACCTCAGTGTCCGGGCTGAATGATGGGGTTGGAGACGCTCCTTCAGGTATACTGGGTCAAGACCGTTATAGACTATGGTCAGATCCTGTGCATCATACATGGCGTTGCACTTATCCAGAGTTTGAAAAGCAGGGAAAGCGCTCTATTCAAGAATTAATGTGAACAGTCTAACTGCACGTGTACATGTCTTTACATGAGCCCCGCATAAGTGCTCTGTGTATTTTAAACATTTGTAACAATGTGGGATCCTTCAAGAAACATTCATGAGGATACATTCTTCCACCTGGAAAAATATACTGTACATTGCCATGCTAAGTTGTACCACTGAGTTTTTATATGAAAAGAAAGGAGCATTTGTGGAGAATAGTATTGAATGAGATTGTTTTACGTAGGCTATTCTAAAGGTTCAGTGAGGAGCATTTGGTTTCCTTTGGTGTTTACACACGTATGCGTATTTCTTTGTAAAGAGTAGGAAGCCAAATATGGCATTTATTAGGAGCTGGCATATAATTCAGGAACTGGGATATAGTAGGCTTGCAGTGGCGTCAACATTTTATGTATTTTTGTTGTAAATAGCTTTGATGTATTTTATGAAATAGCAGTGTAGAAATAAATAAATGTGTTGGAGGGGGGTTATTGAGTTGTTTGTTTTTGTTTTGATTATGTATTTTGTGTTTCTTATATTGTGATTTTAGCTTGTGAACCTCCCTGAGACCTGTGGGAATAGGGCAGTATACAAATTCAATTTAACAACAACAACAATAATTCCTGAAGCAACAGTAATGTTGCTCTGTCATTTTGCTTTCTGGCTTTAGTTGTGACGGTAACTCAGGTTGATTAAAAAGAAACCCTTCGATGAAAGATTTTGGCAGAAAAGCCAAGTGCTCCCCATATTGGTTAAAATAATAATAAACTTAATATTTGACAATTTGCTGCTCTTTAGTGGTGCTCCAAAATCTGGTGGGTTCCCTCTCTTACCCCTCACCCTGTCTCTAGTCATTTGTGTGAATCAGATGTGTTTTATGTGGTGCATTTTGTTTTGGGTCGTTAAATATGAAATTGAAGTAAACATTGTGATAGAACCTATGTGTGTTTGTAGGGTGCTGTGTTAACGCCAACAATGGACCACACAATGTCCATGCAGCCAGCAAGTATGATGGGCCCCCTGACACAACAGATGAATCACCTTTCTTTGGGCACAACAGGAACGGTAAGCTTAAATAATATGCTTCAAATTCTCTCT